TGTACTGTGTGGGTGTGTGTGTGTGTGTGTGTGTCTCACCTATTTGTGTGTTGTGTGTGTTTTTGTGTGTGTGTGTGTGTGTGTGTGTGTATGTGTCTAGTGTGTGTGTGTGTGAGTGTGTGTGGTGTGGTGAGTTCCACTAGTTGGTACTCACCTAGTTAGGTTGCAGGGTCGAGTCCAAGCTCCTGGCCCCCTCTTCACTGGTCGCTACTAGTTCATTCCCTGAACCATGAGTTTATCGTACCTCTGCTTAAAGCTATGTATGGATCCTGCCTCCACTACATCTCTTCCCAAACTATTCTACTTCCTGACTACTCTGTGTGTGTGTGTGTGTGTGTTGTGTGTGTTGTGTGTGTGGTGTACTCACCTAGTTTGTACTCACCTAGTTGAGGTTGCGGGGGTCGAGTCCGAGCTCCTGGCCCCGCCTCTTCACTGATCGCTACTAGGTCACCTCTCCCTGAGCCGTGAGCTTTATCATACCTCTGCTTGTGTGTGTGTGTGTGTTAGTTACCATTTTATCCTAGGCACATGCCGATTAGACACTAGGCCTGTTGTATATGAGTACGTGTGTGTGTGTGTGTTGTGTGTGTGTGTTGTGTGTGTGTGTGTTGTGTTACCATTTTGTCCTAGGCACATGCCGATTAGACACTAGGCCTGTTGTATATGAGTACGTGTGTGTGTGTACTCACCTATTTGTACTCACCTATTTGTGGTTGCAGGGGTCGAGTCATAGCTCCTGGCCCCGCCTCTTCACTGATTGCTACTAGGTCCTCTCTCTCCCTGCTACATGAGCTTTATCATACCTCGCCTTAAAACTATGTATGGTTCCCGCCTCCACTACTTCACTTTCTAGACTATTCCATGACTTGACTACTCTATGACTGAAGAAATACTTCCTAACATCCCTTCGATTCATCTGAGTCTTCAACTTCCAATTGTGACCTCTTGTGTCTGTGTCCCATCTCTGGAACATCCTGTCTTTGTCCACCTTGTCTATTCCGCGCAGTATTTTATATGTCGTTATCATGTCTCCCCTGACCCTCCTGGCCTCCAGTGTCGTCAGGCCGATTTCCCTCAACCTTTCTTCGTAGGACAATCCCCGTAGCTCTGGGACTAGTCTTGTTGCAAACCTTTGCACTTTCTCTAGTTTCTTCACGTGCTTGGCTAGATGTGTTGTGTGTGTGTGTGTGTGTGTGTGTGTGTGTGTGTGTGTGTGTGTGTGCATATTGTGTCTCACCTATTTGTACTCACCTATTTGTGGTTGCAGGGGTCGAGTCCTAGCTCCTGGCCCCGCCTCTTCACCGGTTGCTACTAGACCCTCTCTCTCCCCGCTCCATGAGCTTTATCAAACCTCGTCTTAAAACTGTGTATGGTTCCTGCCTCCACTACGTCATTTTCTAGGCTATTCCACTGCCTTACAACTCTATGACTGAAGAAATACTTCCTACTATCTCTCTGACTCATTTGTGTCTTCAACTTCCAATTGTGGCCTCTTGTTTCTGTGTCCCCTCCCTGGAACATCCTGTCCTTGTCCACCTTGTCTATTCCACGCAGTATTTTATATGTCGTTATCATGTCTCCCCTGACCCTCCTGTCCTCCAGTGTCGTCAGTGTGTGTGTGTGTGGTGTGTGTGTGTTTGTGTGCATATGTGTGTGTGTGTGTGTGTGTGCATGTGTGTGTGTGTGTGTGTGTGTGCGTGTGTGCGTGTGTGTGTGTGTGTGTGTGTGTGTGTGTGTGTGTGTGTGTGTGTGTGTGTGTGTGTGTGTGTGTGCTACAGCTATTCAAGTACCTAACAGCAGAGCTGTTCTCACCTAGTGTGTGTGCATATGTTTATGTAAACAGTCCTTATTTCCCACGTATGTACTACATATGTATTGTATATGTACCCGATCTCTTGGTTCCCACTGTACTGTCTTATGCGTTTAAAATTACGTTCAAAAATAAATACACTAGGCTTCGCCTATATGCCGCTACCTCTAAATTCTATTAAATGCCAGTAAATGCTACTTATTCTAATTCTGATAGCTCGAGGAAAGTGACCCCCAATTCCAGCTAGAGACAGGTACTATTGACCCCATGCAACTCAAACTAGGTGAATATTACTTGCGGCTGGCAGTGGAGTAAGGTTGCGGGTCTGTCCTGTCCTAGAAGTTGAAGAAGTTTGATGCTTCTCGGTAATTTTTCCACTAACTTCCTGTATGCACTATAGTCTCTAGCTCTTCTAATTTTTTCACTCACTCACTGTATTTACTGACACATCTATACATATCTCTTATCTCTCTGGTCTTGAGTCGCACTTATTCTTCAAAATACCCCACTGCGTTATTATGGCAACACTATTTAGGCCTGACACAACCGTTCACCCTTCCAATGGCCCTCACTAAACACTCAGCCAATATTTCCTTTGTTTTCTTTTCTGTGATCACTTATATTTCCTTTTTTCGGGGCTTAAGTGATTATATGCACTCTCATGCGTGCACACGCCTATATCCCACACTCTATTCCTTATGGCACAGTCAGAAATTACCACCAAAACATGAGTTCAAACCGCGTGACTCCTCCACGAGTGTGTGTGTGTGTGTGTGTGTGTGTGTGTGTGTGTGTGTGTGTACTCACCTATTTGTACTCACCTATTTGTGGTTGCAGGGGTCGAGTCACAGCTCCTGGCCCCGCCTCTTTGCTGATTGCTACTAGGTCCTCTCTCTCCCTGCCCCATGAGCTCTATCATACCTCGCCTTAAAACTGGTGTGTGTGTGTGTGTGTGTGTGTGTGTGTGTGTGTGTGTGTGTGTATGTGTGTGTGTGTGTGTGTTAAGTCCCTGTGTGTGTGTGTGTTAAGTCCCTGTGTATGTGTGTGTGTGTGTTAAGACCCTGTGTGTGTGTGTGTGTGTGACTCAATAATCAATATTTGTACCAATAACTCATTACAGTTGTGACGGGTTGTGGACGTGTGAATTGCTCATTACTCTATAATTTGTTCATGATTGTAGCCACGTATAAACGAAAGTAAATTTATTTACATGATTCATTACCTTTGAACCTAGTTCAGCTATCAAAACTTTGGGGGCCCAGTCCCTGGACCCATTATGTACCTCTGTAACCGTTTGACTACTGTACTGTAATACAATATAATACAATTACAATTACTTCTGAATACTTCCGTTTAAGGGGCGTCGGCCAAAAAATATGTAGCTCTTGTTTACCGTCCGATTTCCTCCAGTTTTGGTGCACAAGACGAAGTGTTTTCACTCTTTCTTGAAAATATTTATCAAAAATATACCTCAAACAACAACTGAGAAAAGACTGAAAAAGGACTGATTTACTGAAAATGCCCTTGTGGCCAAATTTATTCCTGTATGGGACGACGTAAGGTTGTTTGGACACTTGGTGCCGAGAGAACAATGTTAATACGACGTTCTAAAGGTATAATGTCCTCTAAATGTCTTATCTTTATTTCACAAAAAATAAAGTTTGTTAGTTCTTGGAATGTTGTAAAATATCTGCCTTTTACTCCCACATAAATCCCAAAATAATTGGAATATTTCCCAAAATATGCCTTTTGTAAATAGAGAAATCATTACGTACCTCTGTAATCTGTAAATACCTTTGTAACTTGTCATGATTGTGACCAGACTTACCTGGAGTTCATTACCTTTGTAAATTGTGAGTTCATTACCTTTGTAAATTGTGAGTTCATTACCTTTGTAAATTGTGAGTTCATTACCTCTGTAACTTGCTCAGCTATCAAAACTTTGGAGTCCAGTCCCTGGACCAATTATGTACCTCTGTAATCTTTTGACTACCGCCCACAGGATGGGTATGGGGTGCATAATAAACATATTAAACTAACTAACTAGAAATCATTATTTTACAATTTCTGTGAATATTATTCCATTTAATTAAGTAATAAAGGAAGAATTTTGGCCATTAGGTGAATAAGTTACTTCCGAGATATTGGCCTGGAGCGCCGGCCGGCCCGCCGTCTCGATTTTTTTTTTTGTTTTTTTTTCGCGAAAATCGCGTTTGCTTGGGTGTATTTCTTAGTAAACTGATGTTATAGTGCAGCTATCCCCTTCAAAATACCGTTTTCTCTTACTCAGAGACCAAAGAATACGACATGAGAGGATTCACTCATTTATATCAAAATATTCATGATGGTCTTGCAATATTATGGCCTATTTTATTCAGTCTAGAGTATTTAATATGTTTGTATGTTATTTATAGTGTTTATTATATCATATTAGACCAATTCTGATAGATAAATAAGCCTCAGAGTTGACATATAAGCTGATATAAGCGTAATAATGAAGTAATTTCTCCTGGCTCTTTGGAGCGGGAGTACTGCCGAGTGTTCCCAGATGGTGTCTGATTGGCTCTAAGTCTACGGATAAGCTCCGCCTACTGTTTTATGATGCCAAATAGTCAGTTATTATATTAGAAAGAATAATGCAAGAAAAAGCGATAAAAAACAAGGAAAAAATTCCAAAAAATATATGTGCTGTGAGCAGACGCGTTACCCATATCACCGTCACCTTACCTGATATAAATGACTATAATTTCTTGTAGAAACGTCGTAGAGGACCCCAATGGAAATAAGTCACTCTGTCTGACTTTTTTGGGTTATCCTAGGTTCTCTACACATATGCTGCTATGTATGATAATTCTATGTAACTGTATTTGTGTATACCTGAATAAACTTACTTACTTACTTACTTACTAACATTCATTCTGGTACCATTGTGTTGCCAAAGAGTTAAGCTATTTTTCGCTATATATATAACTCAATTTCCATAATTTTTCGTTTTTTTTTTTTTTGAGAGCGCGCGGAGAATTGTCTGACAGGGCCCTGTGTAAGAGAGAGAGAGAGAGAGAGAGAGAGAGAGAGAGAGAGAGAGAGAGAGAGAGAGAGAGAGAGAGAGAGAGAGAGAGAGAGAGAGAGAGAGAGGAGAGAGAGAGAGAGGAGAAGAGAGGAGGAGGAGAGACAGAGAGAGGAGAGAGAATCAGTTATGGCTGAATGAGGGACGTCACTCGCTCTCTGCCTCTCTTACTGTGCCATTTTTTTTTTTTTGAGGGGGAAATTTGAGTTATTTGGAGGAGTGGTAATATACTGTAGGTGACAGTGAAGATGTTGACTTATGATAGACAAGATGTAGTGTTGGTGGTGGAGAAGAGTGTTAGTATGAAGAAGTACCTTCCTGAGCTGATGGAAGCTTATCTTGCTCCTACCATAGCGTAAGTTAATGTTTATTGTAGTGGTTCTTGATCCAGGGAAGTGGATCTTGCTCCTACCATAGTGTAAGTTAATGTTTATTGTAGTGGTTCTTGATCCAGGGAAGTGGATCTTGCTCTACCATAGCGTAAGTTAATGTTTATTGTGTGGTTCTTGATCCAGGGAAGTGGATCTTGCTCCTACCATAGTAAGTTAATGTTTATTGTGTGGTTCTTGATCCAGGGAAGTGGATCTTGCTCCTACCATAGCGTAAGTTAATGTTTATTGTAGTGGTTCTTGATCCAGGGAAGTGGATCTTGCTCCTACCATAGCGTAAGTTAATGTTTATTGTAGTGGTTCTTGATCCAGGGAAGTGGATCTTGCTCCTACCATAGCGTAAGTTAATGTTTATTGTTGTGGTTCTTGATCCAGGGAAGTGGATCTTGCTCCTACCATAGCGTAAGTTAATGTTTATTGTTGTGGTTCTTGATCCAGGGAAGTGGATCTTGTCCTACCATAGCGTAAGTTAATGTTTATTGTAGTGGTTCTTGATCCAGGGAAGTGGATCTTGCTCCTACCATAGCGTAAGTTAATGTTTATTGTAGTGGTTCTTGATCCAGGGAAGTGGATCTTGCTCCTACCATAGCGTAAGTTAATGTTTATTGTAGTGGTTCTTGATCCAGGGAAGTGGATCTTGCTCCTACCATAGCGTAAGTTAATGTAGCCCCAGGTGCTCTTGATCCAGGGGAGTGGATGTGTCCTCCCTTTACATCAAACCAGAATGGCCCCCCCCCAGGGTGCTCCATTACCCCATTACCTCCATTAATAGTGATGATAATATTGATTGTTAATAATATTTGATTCGTATTCAAATAAATTTGACCTATCCTCCATCTCCTCGCATCAAAGTAGACTACCACCCATAACTAGATGTAGAACCCTTGTGGGTTTACCACAGCTTTGTGAATTTAATATTTGAAGTTGCAGTGTCTGACAGGTTTGTAGATGAATGGTTCAGAGAACCGACATGTTGATAAATTAGACACATGTGCAACTCTTGGGTATCTTTATTGAGGAAACGTTTCGCCACACAGTGGCTTCATCAGTCCATACAACTGATGAAGCCACTGTGTGGCAAAACGTTTCCTCAATAAAGATACCCAAGAGTTGCACATGTGTCTAATTTATCAACGTGTCGGTTCTCTGAACCATTCATCTACAAACCTGTCAGACACTGCAACTTCTTGGGATCTTAATACTTGGGAATTCTTCGCTTGCCTAATTCTTGGGCACGACCTACTTCCACATTGAACAAATGTGACACTACCTATGACTGCTGCACCTCTCCTGCCAACGGTTTATAAGCTCCTTCTCCGCACGTATGCCGTATTCTATTCAAGATTGATGGACTGAACACATTGACTCAAGGTTGAGGGACTGATTACCTCATTCTCCTCCTGTTCCTCAAGATTCTCCTTTGTATGGACTGATGAAGCCACTGTGTGGCAAAACGTTTCCTCAATAAAGATACCCAAGAGTTGCACATGTGTCTAATTTATCAACTACTGTATAAACTAAAAATATACCAGAAATGTTATAAATGGTGCAAAGGTGACATTAAAACAATATTAAAGATGGGTGACACAAACCCACTACCATTGTAGTATCCTCCTCACTTAGTGGCAAATTTGTTTAACGACATGGTCTTAGGAACGGAACTCTGTCATTCAGTGAGGAGAGGCTGTATTTGGTTCAAGGACCCCAGTGGAAATGAGTCACATGTTTGACTTTTTTGGGTTATCCTAGATAATTTACTCTGTGTATGATGTTTGTATTTATGTGTACCTGTGCATAAATAACCTTAATCCTGGGTGGCTAACTCTCTGCTTTAAAAATCTGAGCAAAATTTTTTTTTTTATTATTTTATTATATTAACACATAGGTCGTTTCCCACCAAGGCAGGGTGGCCCAAAAAAGAAAAATTTTCACCATCATTCACTCCATCACTGTCTTGCCAGAGGTGCACTTACACTACAGTTATAAAACTGCAACATTAACACCCGTCCTATCTTCGTGAAAAATTAGTTAAAATTATTTTTCTCAATTTCAGGCTGTTTGGAGGGGGTTTATCTGAAGAATCGGATGTTTTCTTCACTCAGGTAATATACATCGCAATGTTACTTAAGCAAATGTAATCAAGTATTTTTCATGATTATTTTACGAAAGCTAAAGCTGAAATTTATCTTTAAGATCATATGCACTTTCTAACTCAGTAATGACATGGTTCACTGTTTGCATCATCCTGGTAAATAACCTAAAGGCACAGTACTAAGACTGGAACAATACACAGATAACCCGCACGTAGGTCCAAGTCAGACCGAAATGTCATCATGAGTTTTTCTCTTATGTGTGGGCTATTTGTGTATCATCCTGGAAAGTTTATCCAATCCACCAGAAGGTATTAGTCTAATCCACTAGAAGGTATTAGTCCAGTCCACCAGAAGGTATTAGGCCAATCCACCAGAAGATATTAGTCCTATCCACCAGAGGATATTAGTTTAGTTTACCGGACAGTACTAGTCCAGTTTACCAGAAGGTATTAGTTCAGTTTACCAGAAGGTATTAGCCTAGTCCACCATAAGGTATTAGTCAAGAGGTATTAGTCCAATCCACCAGGAGGTATTAGTCCAATCCACCAGAAAGTATTAGTTCAATCCACCAGGACCCCAGTGGAAATAAGTCACCCTGACTTTTTTTGGGGGGTTATCCTAGGTAATTTACACACATGTTACTCTGTATGATAATTTGTGTACTGTATTTATGTGTACTAAGTCAGTCATCCAGCCCACCATAAGTCATTAATTTCAAGTCCTACACAGGAAATTCCCTTCTAATCTTTGTTGTTCTGTCTGTGTCTGTCACACTTCACACCAGTCCATTCCATGAATATAATCAAAATTCTTTGCACACCTTGCTGTTGAATTGAATTTCACTCACCTTAAGCAAATTGAACTCATTAAATGCTCATGGGAAGCGTGATTGGCAACTCTCTCTCTCGCCTCACACATTGAGTGTCCTTGGTTCAGTCCCCGGCTGGGTAGAAATGGGCATGTTTCCTTACACCTGCTGTTCCTGTTCACCTAGCTATAAGTAGGTACCTGGGTGTTAATCGACTCGTGTGGGTTGCATCTTGGGAACAATATTGAAGGATGACAATAGAAATAAAACAGTCCTCAGTGACACGCTGACTAGGGTTATCCCGGGTGGCTAACCCTCCAGGGTTAAAAATCCTGACAAATCTTATCTTATTTTAAGGTATAGAGCTTGACTCACATCTGGTGGATTGCTTTCTCAAATATTTTTTGAAAGAATTGGTTAATTAGACTGTAGTTATTAACATTGGTTGAATCACCACCACTATGGATGCTTGTTCTCCTGACTTTTCAGAGCATCTGAAAAAAGTTTATTCTTATTGATTTGTTGAAAGGTATTGTAAAAATTGGAGAAAATGCTGTTGCAGCTTTTTTTTTAGAATTGTAAGTATTGTATTTGTGCTATTAGCTGTATTTTTTGTATTTTTATCATTGAAATTATTTGTGCAGAATTGGTACGTAAGTTAATTTAGGCACAAGCACACACAAATACAGTTGTCATACATAGTATAAATTACCCACTAGGGTAACCCAAAAAAGTCAAAGTGATTATGTATTTCCACTTGTTATGTAAACCTTCAAGTGGGGGCCTTGATGCTAGTGAAAGACTTGAACCAAGAAATTGGAGCTGTATTTCCCATCCTTGGATCAGACCTGATTGTCACCCATACCCAGATGTTGCATGACCCTCCCATGACTTCATTGCTTTTCCATGAATGTTATAATAATAATGATAATTGATGCTTATATCTTAAGACAGTACACAAATATGGAAAACTACTTGAAGATCAGCATATTTAATGTGAAGTCAACATGTTACATTGTTTACCCAGTATTAATGCACATTCTGTTTCACAGAGCAGTGTCGTGCAGTATGCTTCTGTCTTTTATGGGACCGAACTGTCACTCATGGGGTCGTGGGGACAAGTTCAGTGTTATGGACCCACATGCTCAGAGGCTGATATACTGAATTCAGTCAAGAATGCTCGGTAAGCTGAACTCTTAACTACCATATTTTTACAACTCTCCCCCCCCCCAAAAAAAAAAAAAAAAAAAAAATTGGAAAACAACCTGCATCTTGTATATCCCTTGCAGGTGCAACAGAAGTAGAGTACTCGTGTGATAATGGTTGAGCATCACTAATCCAGCACCATTGGGACCTGTAGGGTGCTAGATTAGTGATTTTTGCCGGATCACAGTGTGGTTAGGATAGAATACACATAACCCAACAGCTAACCACATCATCCTACCTCTAAAATACCCCATAAATCCAGATTAGTGAGTGCCAGTTCAGTGATAGCCAATCTGTACTTACAAGTTTGTCCCACAGAAACTTGTTCTGTACTGGGGTGTATGCTGTGTAGGATGCAGAATATGTAACGCATCAGTGACAAATACAGTCGTAATAATGTTGGTAGAATCACCAACAATATGTTAGGTAAAAGGACACATGCAACTAATTTGACATTTTATTATGGCAACATTTAGTAAGTAAGTAAGTAAGTAAGTTTATTCAGGTATACACAAATACAGTTACATAGATTATCATACATAGCAGCATATGTGTAGAGAACCTAGGATAACCCAAAAAAGTCAGACAGAGTGACTTATTTCCATTGGGGTCCTTTTACCTTATTATTATAATATAAAGGTTATAATATTTTCTTATTATTCTACAATGAAGATAACATCTTATTATCATACTAAAAAGACTATCTACTACACGAAGGTCATTAAGACTATCTACAATACGAGGGTCATTACAAGGAATAAGGTAAAATTTACACGTATGTTAGCTAAAAAATAGAAAATCATTCCCCTCCCTTTCTGTAGCTACATTCATCAGACACCTTTTGGCACTTCTTGAACTGGTTCACGCTATGACTGGCTTTGACATGTGCGGGCAGTCTGTTCCATTCCTTTATTGCTGTACAATAAAAGGTGTTTGAAGCCTGGCCACTGACTGTGGGTACTACAAAGTTGTGCTCTCTCCCCCTAGTACTATGATTGCTTTGGTTCCCAACCTTGACAAAACTGACAGCAAGATATTCTGGACATTGTTTGTGAGCAATTTTATAAACATGATTTAGCTTCAGTTGTTTTACTCTGTCTTCAACATTCAGCATATCCAACTGCTGTAATTCATCCTGGCCTACATGTTCTCTTGGTCCCAGCCCCAGGATGAATCTTACGATTTTGTTCTGGGTGATTTGCAGTCTATCTTTCAGTTTTTTTGTCAAGGCAGAGTACCAAGAAGAGCAAGCGTAATCCATATGGCATTGTATAAGGGCTAGACATAGGGTCCTGCGAGCCTCAGTAGGTAGACACTGTGCTTGTCTATACAGGAACTTCAGTTTGGCATTCGCTTTCTTTACTACACTGTTCCCTATCAATTCTCCTGACATGTATGGGTCAAAGGGGATTCCCAAATATTTTACTGATGAAACCAAAGTGATGGGCTCCCCATTACATTGAACATTAAAATTATTTACCCTTCTCAATTTATGTTTCGTGCCAAAGAGAATGGCTTCAGTTTTCCCGAGGTGTAATGATAGTTTGTTGTCTACTAACCATTTGCTGCAGGACTCCAGTTCCAGTGTTAAAACATTAGCAATATCTTGTGGGTCTTTACCTGACACTAACAGAGCACTGTCATCTGCATACAGTAGGAGTTTGCACTTGACACTGATAGGCATATCATTGACATAACATAAGAATAATAAGGGACGCCTGGAGAACAAAATGTTGCCACAATAAAATGTTGCACTAGTTGCTCACGTGTCCTTTTACCTAACACAAATAAATACAGTCAAGAAAAACCTGTTTCATTGAAATGTTGCATGTTGTGTCACACTTTCTCCATAGACTCTATATATTTGGTGGTTCATTCCTGGATTTTATAGGAATTACATGTACGTATATACAGTAGAGTACATACTTTAATACAAATTAAATTTTTCTTTTTGTGATATAACAGTAATGTAGTTTACATGTAATAAAACATTGGGAGTTGCAAAATAAAGCCACTAGTATGCAAAGCATTTTGGGCAAACCAATTTTTGATACAATTTTGAAAATACAGTAAAATACAGCACCAGTAGTGCATACTCCCTATGAGTTTGGTGCTTCTCCATAATTTTAATAATACACAGGCATCATAGACTTGTATACAGAGAATTAACATAATAAAGATTTTGTGAGAGGAGTACATGTCCATGATGGTTGGATGCTGATTCTAAAACTGTTAGAGCATTATTTAGGAAATACATCCCTTTAAGGTTCCTGTTACTACTGGTGCTGAATAACCCTTATGGGTTTTGTTCTTCATATAAATATTATTAATTATTATACAGTAGAGAATCCTTTATTCAAAATTCCAAAATTCAATGGCTTCCAAAATCCGAAAGCTTTTTCAAGTGTTGACATGACGCGCCACAAATGGATCATTTATCACAAGACGTGGTTGAAGGCACGATCCTCTTCAGTGATGATGAGACATCGCTGTACTGGCATGTACTGTACTGGATTTCGACCACTTTTTTCGGCAAATTTTTACCCTGGGTTTCATAAATTCACTTGGAAATCGTCCGTATCAGACACATCAGCCTGCCCGGGCTGCTGCCGCTCACAGTCTGCCTCTGTCACTCGTTCAGTGAACAATACTCCATGCATTCATCCTTTTTTTAGTGCTTGTTTATTGAGTGTGACTGTGAAATAAGTCACCATGGGGCCAAAGAAAGTTCAGCATGCCATCCCTTTGGTAAAGAAGGTGAGAAGCATGATAGAATTCAAGAAGGAGCTTGTATCAAAATATGAAAGTGGCGTACATGTGGCCGAGCTCGCCAGGATGTATGTGAAGTCCAAATCAACAATCAATTTCATCCTGGCGAAGAAAGTAAAAATCAAGGAAGCTGATGTTGCGAAAGGGATAAATATGCTAATGAAACAGAGATCACAAACAATCGAAGATGTGGAGAAGTTGTTGTTGGCGTGGATCAACGAAAAACAGTTAGCGGGAGATAGTGTTGTGGAGGGGATAATCTGCGAAAAGGCAAGGCAGTTGCATGCGGATCTTGTAAAGAAAATGCCTGGAACGAGTGCTGCTGTTAGTGAATTTAAGACCAGCAAAGGCTGGTTCAACAGATTCAAGAAGCGAAGTGGTATACACAGTGTGGTAAGGCATGGCGAGGCTGCAAGTTCGGACAAACGTGTGACCGAAGAATTTGTTGATGAATTCAAGGAGTACTTAGAGGATGAAGGATTCCTCCCCCAACAAGTGTTCAGTTGTGACGAAGCAGGCCTCTTTTGGAAGAAAATGCCAAAGAGGACCTACATCATGCAGGAGGAAAAGGCAGTGCCAGAACATGAGACTATGAAGGATAGGCTAACTCTTTTGTTCTGTGGGAACGCTAGTGGGGATTTCAAAGTGAAGCCTTTACTCGTGTATCACTCTGAAAATCCCTGAGTGTTCAAGAAAAACAATGTCATGAAGAGTAAACTGTGTGATGTGGAAGGCTAACAAGAAGGCATGGGTCATGAGGCTAATTTTCATTGTGTGAATCAATGAAGTGTTTGGCCCGAGTGTGAAGAAATACCTCCTGGAAAATATGTTGCCACTCAAGTGCCTCCTGGTAATGGACAATGCTCCTGCTCATCCTCCAAACTTGGAAGATCAATTGTTTGAGGAGTTTAGTTTAATCACAGTGAAGTTCTTGCCCCCCTAATACCACTCCTCTCATCCAGTCCATGGACCAGCAGGTCATTTCAAACTTCAAAAAACTCTACACCAAAGCAGTGTTTCAAAGGTGCTTTGAAGTGACCTCGGACACTGAATTGACCCTAAGAGAGTTCTGGAGGAATTACTTCAATATCCTCAATTGCATAAGCCTTATAGATAAGGCTTGGTAGAAAGTGACTTCCAGGATGATGAACTCTGCTTGGAGAAAATTGTGGCCAGAATGTGTCCTGAGAGGGATTTTGAAGGGTTTGAGGCTGACCCTGACGACCCTACTCCTTTTGTGGAATGTATTGTGTCTTTGGGGAAGTCCATGGGGCTGGATGTGAGTGGTGAGGATGTGGAAGAGTTGGTGGAGGACCACAAGGAAGAGCTAACCAGTGAAGAGCTGCAAGACCTTCAGCTGGAACAGCAACAGACTGCAGCTGAGGATGTTGCTTCAGAGGAGGAAGAGAGGGGGGAGAATGTGCCTTCTTCAGTGATTAAGGACATTTGTGCAAAGTGGAATGAGGTGCAAAGTTTTGCGTAGAATTATCATCCTAGCAAAACTGTTGCAAGCCATGTCTGCAACATGTTCAATGACAATATGTTGTCCCATTTTAGGCAAATCTTACAGAGACGCCAGAAACAGGCCTCTCTGGACAGATTTGTTGTGACAGGGGTGCAGTGACTCTTAAGCTGGAAGTAACCCCAGAGAGGGCTTTGATACCTGAAGTCCTTATGGATGGGGATTCCCCTTCCAAACAAAAAATTCTTTTCCTTCTCCCCTCCTCGCCTTCTTCCATACGCCAACAAGAGTCTTCAATATAGGTATGTAATATTGATTTAAATGTTTATTTATCCATTTCATTAGTCATTTATATTTATTTCTCATTGTTTTCTGTATGTAAAACTATAGTTATTTTCTAAAAAATGTATTTTTTGTTAATTTTGGGTGTCTGGAACTGATTAATTGGATTTACGTTCATTATTTCTTATGGGAAATATTACTTTGGTTTTCATCCATTTTGATTTTCGACTGACCTTCTGAAACTGATTAAGGATGATAACGGGGATTCCACTGTATAAGCATAATTGCTGCATCCTCACTGTTTTAAATGTGCAGATATCTATCCAGTCCATTATTATGCTAACAAAATGGCATGGATCACCAGGGACATCTTTTCTGATTGGTTTCACAAACATTTTGTAGCAGTGGCTCATGCCCAGTGCAGGGAAGCCAGACTGGATACCAAGTACAAGATTTTGTTATTCCTTGACAGTTGTTCTGCTTATCCTCTAGTTGAACTTATCAAAAATGATGTTGTTACATGTACTTTCCCCCAAATGGGACTTCATGAATTCAGTCATGTGACCAAGGCATCCGTAGATCAATGAAGACTAAATATAAAGACAATTTCTTGAACAGCATGCTGGCAACAGTGAACAGAGGCATGGGTGTGGATGGCTTCAAGAAGGAGTTTACTCTGAAGGATGCTGTATGTGCAGCTGCCAATGCATGGAATTGTGCAACTAAAGACAACCTTGCACATGCCTGGCACAACCTCTGGCCTGCAGCTATGGTGAATGATGATGATGGACAAAATGATGTGTTAAGAATTCTGCATGTCAAGTGAGAAAAAGATGTTCAGACCTCCTTACGTATGCAAAAAGATACCTTCAGAGTTCATCAGTAGCCTGGAGGAAGTGGATATCAAAGAAGTTGTTTACATCGATAATGATACTCCAATTGTTTTTTCAATGACCATTGGTGAAATATCTGAAATGGTTCTAAATCGAGGTGATCCTGATGATAGTAGTGATGATGATGATGACATTGTTAACACAGTGTAAAGGTGCCAATAGATAACATGTGTAATGGATTTATTGAAGGACTAGAGCAGCATGCATTCATAACAAAACAAGAAATCAAAGAAAGACTGCTACAGCACTGGCAGAGGACACTGGAAGGTACATTAAGAAAAGCCATCCAGTACAGTGCTTCTCATCCCTAGATCATCCACTTCCAGGTCCCACAATTGCTTCTGATGTTCCTCCTAAATCATCCACTTCCAGGTCTCATCAACTTTCAGGTCTTATCCACTTCCAGGTCCTACAACTGCTTCTGATGTTCCTAGTAGATCATCCACTTCCAGGTCCCACAACTGCTTCTGATGTTCCTTATTGATCATCCATTTCCAGGTCCTACAACTACTTATGATGTTCCTCCTAGATCATCCACTTCCAGGTCCCACAATTGCTTCTGATGTTCCTACTAGATTATCCACTTCCAGGTCTCACAACTGCTTCTGATGTTCCACCTAGATCATCCACTTCCAGGTCCCACAACTGCTTCTGATGTTCCTCCTAGATCATCCACTTCCAGATCCCACAACTGCTTCTTATGTTCTAGATCATCCACTTCCAGGTCCCACAACTGCTTCTGATGTTCCTGCTAGATCATCCACTTCCAGGTCCCTCAACTGCTTCTTATGTTCCTGCTAGATCATCCACTTCCAGGCCCCACAACTGATTCTGATGCTCCTGCTAGATCATCCACTTCCGAGTCCCACAACTGCTTCTGATGTTCCTGCTAGATCATCCACTTCTAGGTCCCTCAACTGCTTCTTATGTTCCTGCTAGATCATCCACTTCCAGGTCCCACAACTTCTTATGTTCCTGCTAGATCATCCACTTCCAGGTCCCACAACTTCTTATGTTCCTGCTAGATCATCCACTTCCAGGCCCCTCAACTGCTTCTGATGTTCCACCTTGTGATGTCATTGATGATATACCCTCTCCCTTGAGTTTCTCAGACCTGCCTGGCGTAGTTGTAGTGTCTGGGCCTGCATTTATCTTCTTTTTGTAAGCAGTGATCATGTTTTTTTGGTACAATGCCGTGTATAGAATTGGGTCCCATCTCCAAGCTGTCCCATTTTATACATGCAAATATATGTACATGTATTCCAAAATCCGAAAAAATCCAAATTCCAAAACACTTCAGGTCCCAAGCATTTCGAATAAACAGTTCTCAACTGTGTTATTATTTACTACTATATAGTATTTATTATTATTATGCTATTATAATTAACTGATGATGCAGTTTTAGGATATTTGTCATGATAGTCTTTCATTTACAGCTACACTTGTAAAAATCTCTCCCGGCAAGCATTTATCCTGGATGGGCTCCAAGCTGCAGTCAATCTCTTCGACACAATGAAGAAGCACTACCCTAGCAGTGAAAATGTGCAGAGATGCTGCATATTAATTACCCAAAGCACACCCATGAGCAACCCCTGGTCTCCCACCAACCCAGAAAAAGTTCTACTCGAAATTAAAAGAGTAAGTTTGGGTCATATCAGATTATGATTCACTATTCCTTCACTCTCAAAGGAAAATATTGAAATATAGCTAAGCCAGTTTTGAGTCATGGAGGTGGGAAGTACAGTGCCTGCACTCTGAAGGAAGGATGGCGATATGTTGCAGTTTTTGAACTGTAGCATTGGCACACCTCTGGTAAGGCAGTGATGGAGTGAGTGATGCTGGAAGTGTTTCTTCTTTTTTTGGGTCACTCTGCTGCAGAAACAGCCAGTGTGTTAAAAAATGAAAAGAAAAAATAGCTATGCAAATATTTGTATTCCATTTTTTTTATTTTGCACCAAATCTACAGCCTTTCCTCATTTAGCAATGTACTCATTTACCGATGACTCGGACTTATGACGGGTTCTCTGACCAGTATGCATACCTAAATAATGTATATTAGGGCTGATTTCCTCTATTCTGTTTATTAAAATGTACAGTACACTGCTGTATAAACATTTAAAAAATATAAGAAATGTTATAAATGGTGCAAAGGTGACATTAAAACAATATCAAAGATGGTTGACACAAACCCACCACCATTATAGTATGCTCCTCACTTAGTGAACAAATTCATTTACGTACTGATGTTGTCTTAGGAACGGAACTCCGTCTTTAAGTGAGGAGAAGCTGTACAGTGAAACCTCGGTACTTGAACAGTTCAGTATTCGAACGCTTTGTTTGGTAAAAAAAAATCGCTTGTTAGTTGACCGTTGTTTGGCAGTTGACCAAACAAACATGACCTGCTGCCGACAAATACATCAGTGAGTTTAGTGACTGTAGAGGCTGAGGGTTTTATTCCCCAAAAGTGTTCATTTGTGATGAGACAGGTTTATTTTGGAAAAAAAAAAATGACCAACAGATCCAATATCACTCGAGAGGAGAAGTCATTGCCAGGACACAAGCCAATGAAGGACAGACTCTCTCTCTTTTGTTGTGCAGGAATGCAAGTGGTGATTTAAAGGTGAAGCCTTTGCTTGTCTATCACTCAGATAAACAAACATTGTGTTCAGTTTTTTCTTTTGTAGATTTATGCATGCTAGGCTTGTAAACTTCATGTTAAAATGCTTTTGTAAGTGTATTTTTGGGGGTCTGAAATGGATTAATCTAATTTACATTATTCCTTATGCGAAAAATTCGTTTGGTACTCGAACAGATTGGCACTTGAACAGCCTTCTGGAATAAATTAAGTTCAGGTACCAAGGTTCCACTGTATATATAGCAAATTTGCTAAGTTATCTAAAAACTTGTTTGACTAGATTTCACTATTGTCGTAGAGGATGAGATTTATGACAAACTCTTTTATGTTGATCAGTATTTTTTCTTCAGATGAATTAATAAATTAAAAATCTTATACAGATTCTTAACTGTTTAACAGCAAAATAATTTAAACAATATAAATTTATAATGAAAATAAGAAAAAACTTTGGAGTGAGTTAAACAAGTTAAGAAAGGCTAGGGAAAGTATGGATTTGTCAGTTAAAAACAAGAGTAGGGGAGTTAGTAGATGGGGAGATGGAGGTATTAGGTAGATGGCGAGAATGTTTTGAGGAACTTTTAAATGTCAATGAAGGGAGGCGGTAATTTCATGCACTGGCCAGGGAGGTATAACATCTTTTAGGAGTGAAGAAGAGCAGGATGTGAGTGTGGGGGAGGTGCATAAGGCATTACGTAGAATGAAAGGGGGTAAAGCAGCTGGAACTGACAGGATCATGATAGAAATGTTAAAAGCAGGGGGGACATAGTGTTGGAGTGGTTGGTATTTTTGTTTAATAAATGTTTGAAAGAGGGGAAGGTACCTAGGGATTGGCAGAGAGCATGTATAGTCCCTTTATATAAAGGGAAGGGGGATGAAAGAGATTGTAAAAATTATAGAGGAATAAGTTTACTGAGTATACCAGGAAAAGTGTATGGTAGGGTTATTATTGAAAGAATTAGAGGTAAGACAGAATGTAGAATTGCGGATGAGCAAGGAGGTTTTAGTGGGTAGGGGATGTGTAGATCAAGTGTTTACATTGAAGCATATATGTGAACAGTATTTAGATAAAGGTAGGGAAGTTTTTATTGCATTTATGGATTTAGAAAAAGTATATGATAGAGTGGATAGGAGAGCAATGTGGCAGATGTTGCAAGTAGTATATGGAATAGGTGGTAAGTTACTAAATGCTGTAAAGAGTTTTTATGAGGATAGTGAGCCTTAGGTTAGGGTGTGTAGAAGAGAGGGAGACTACTTCCCGGTAAAAGTAGGTCTTAGACAGGGATGTGTAATGTCACTGTGATTGTTTAATATATTTATCGATGGGGTTGTAAAAGAAGTAAATGCTAGGGTGTTCGGGAGAGGGGTGGGATTAAATTATGGGGAATCAAATACAAAATGGGAATTGACACAGTTACTTTTTGCTGATGATACTGTGCTTATGGGAGATTCTAAAGAAAAATTGCAAAGGTTAGTGGATGAGTTTGGGAGTGTGTGTAAAGGTAGAAAGTTGAAAGTGAACATAGAAAAGAGTAAGGTGATGAGGGTATCAAATGATTTAGATAAAGAAAAATTGGATATCAAATTGGGGAGGAGGAGTATGGAAGAAGTGAATGTTTTCAGATATTTGGGAGTTGACGTGTCAGCGGATGGATTTTATGAAGGATGAGGTTAATCATAGAATTGATGAGGGAAAAAAGGTGAGTGGTGCATTGAGGTATATATGGAGGCAAAAAATGTTATCCATGGAGGCAAAGAAGGGAGTGTATGAAAGTATAGTAGTACCAACACTCTTATATGGATGTGAAGCTTGGGTTGTAAATGCTGCAGCAAGGAGACGGAGGCAGTGGAGATGTCTTGTCTAAGGGCAATGTGTGGTGTAAATATTATGCAGAAAATTTGGAGTGTGGAAATTAGGAGAAGGTGTGGAGTTAATAAAAGTATTAGTCAGAGGGCTGAAGAGGATTTGTTGAGGTGGTTTGGTCATTTAGAGAGAATGGATCAAAGTAGAATGACATGAAGAGCATATAAATCTGTAGGGGAAGGAAGGCAGGGTAGGGGTTGTCCTCAGAAAGGTTGGAGGGAGGGGGTAAAGGAGGTGTTGTGGGTGAGGGGTTTGGACTTCCAATAAGCATGCGTGAGCGTGTTAGGAGTGAATGGAAACGCTGCTTCAACCACTGCCTCACCCGCTGCCTCACCCGCTGCCTCACCCGCTGCCTCACCCGCTGCCTCACCCACACTGCCTCACCCACTGCCTCACCCACTGCCTCACCCACTGCCTCGCCCACTGCTTCACCCACTGCCTCACCCACTGCCTCACCCACTGCCTCACCCACTGCCTCACCCACTGCCTCAACTGCTGCCTCACCCACTGCCTCACCCACTGCCTCACCCACTGCCTCAACCACTGCCTCAACCACTGCCTCAGCCACTGCCTCAGCCACTGCCTCATCCACTGCCTCACCCACTGCCTCACCCACTGCCTCACCCACTGCCTCAACTGCTCCCTCAACCACTGCTTCAACCACTGCCTCACCCACTGCCTCAACCACTGCCTCAACAACTGCCTCACCCACTGCCTCAACTGCTTCCTCAACCAATACCCCACCCACTGCCTCACCCACTGCCTCACCCACTGCCTCAACCACTACCTCACCCACTGCCTCACCCACTGCCTCAACCACTGCCTCACCCACTGCCTCACCCACTGCCTCAACCGCTTCCTCAACCACTGCCTCTACCACTCCAGCCGCACTCAATCTACAAACACCAAACACAATGAATTGTTGTGAAATGTTTGGAAGAGCAGGGAGACTAATGTTCACTCCAGCATAAACAAAGCCACACTGACGATGTGTCAACCACTCCCTCGTATTTTTGTACAATTTCCTTCTTCAGTTCTATCGCATTTATTATTATTATTATTATTATTATTATTATTACTCTTGTTATTATTAGCAGTAGCAGAAATGTTTGATTCTTTGCTGTATTCAAGAGTAAACACATGATGTCACCGTCCAATACCTGTCCGAATATTCCAACATGCAGTCATGAATGGGTTTACATTATTTATACTGTAGTTTAATAGCAATGAACAAACAAAACACTCACCACACTGGTGGGAGGGCTGGCTGCCAGTTGCGGGGTTCGGAGGGAGGGTAGTAGGGACTCGCAGTGGTTGAGGAAGTGGTGGAGGCATTGGTGGAGGCAGTGGTGGAGGCAGCGGTATTTAATAACATACATGTTATTAAACCATAACATGTATGTATTTAGTACAATTTATGACGTTTTCATGTATTTTATGATTGTTCATGGTTCAACAAGTTAAGGAAGTAGTATTGTATTATATTTCCCTACAATATTTTGGGGCACCAAACATTCGCGAGGCTCTTGATCCCCTAACCCTCGCGAATGTTGAGGGTGACCTGTATATACACACCCCTCTGGGTTTTCTTCTATTTTCTTACTAGTTCTTGTTCCTGTTTATTTCCTCTTATCTCTATCGGGAAATGGAACAAAATTCTTCATCCGTTAGCCATGCATGTTGTAAGAGATGACTAAAATGCCAGGAGCAAGGGGCTTGTAACCCCTTCTCCTGAATATATTACTAAATTTAAGAGAAACTTTTGTTTTTTCTTTTAAACCACCCTGCCTTGGTAGGATACAGCTGGTGTGTTGAAAGAAGAAGTAGGCTGGTATACAGAAACCATCATTTAATTTGCAGTTATACTTAAAATTGAAGATTGATTACAGGAGGGCCCTACTTATACAGGTTTGATTCCAGCCAACTTCTGTAAAGCAAAAATCACTGTTAAATGAAACAGAGCCTTTTTTCACTTTCAAATTCATATAAAAGCTTGATAACATGTTAATATTGATATATATTCAATTGAGCAATATAGCTAGACCTAAAAAATGCATAGCTTATAATTAGTGGTGAATATATTTATTGTAGGAGGTCTGAATATATGAAGAATGGGTATAGTTGAAAGCCGCTGCGTTAGCGAAGCCCTATAAAGCGAGGCCCACCTGTACTTTTTTTCCATTAGTTACTTTCCTCTATTGGTTTATCTTCAGTTCTGCTTATAGATGTAAAAAGTAAGAATTGTTTTTATTAGCTGGAAGTTATCCAGAATAAACAATTTTTTTTTGTGTGATGTGAATGATGATGACATATCTTTGATAACTGCTATTGCAGACCAACATCCAGTTGTCAGTTATCTCCGCTCACAAGCTGGTGGAACTGTATCGCTTGTTCGATGCTGCTGGGGGTGACCATCAAGCCAGTCTCAATAAAAATTACGCGAGCAAGCCTCAACACCTAGTACTCCTTAATGGTTTCACGTAAGTTGTACAGGAAGTTTTCAACTTATGAACACATTGGTAACCTCATGAATTGTATATAATATTCATAATAGAGTAAGTCTTCAACTTATGAACATGCTGGGGACTTTCTGTATTGTGCATAATAATGATATAATAACAGAAGATATACACACCTCTCTGGGTTTTCTTCTATTTTCTTTCTAGTTCTTGTTCTTGTTTATTTCCTCTTATCTCCATGGGGAAGTGGAACAGAATTCTTCCTCCGTAAGCCATGCGTGTTGTAAGAGGTGACTAAAATGCCAGGAGCAAGGGGCTAGTAACCCCTTCTCCTGTATATATTACTAAATGTAAAAGGAGAAACTTTCGTTTTTCCTCTTGGGCCACCCCGCCTCGGTGGGATACAGCCGGTGTGTTGAAAGAAAGATAATAACAGGAGATTCTCAACCTGTTTGTAAGTCGAGGACTTACTGTATTCTGCAATTTATAATAGAGGCATGAACATACAACATGATTGTTGGACACTCACCCAAGATGGGTGAAGTAGAGGTGAAGTAGAAGCATGTTAAATGTTTTGCACTCTGGCATTAGTTTGATAGTAAGCAACTATCCAAAGAGGTACTCACCTCTGTCACATGAGTGCGAAATGTGAATCTGTTCAATGTTTTGTCTCGTGAACCTGAAAGATGACAGGTTATACCTACAAAATGCTACAGTACAAGCCTAAGCCAGGGGCATTGATGCCTAGAACCATTCAAGGCTATTGGTGGTGGTGCCAAGAAAAATGTGTGATTCTCAGAGTCATGTACATCTCAGTTATTTATGTCTTTTCAGCCCTCTACATCTCGGCCAACTATGTCTCCTCATCCCTCTATATTTTCTCAGCCAACTATGTCTTCTCATCCCTCTACATCTTCTCAGCCATCTATATCTTCTCATCCCTCTATATATTCTCAGTCATCTATGTCTTCTCATCCCCCTACATCTTCTCAGCCATCTTCTACATTTCAACCATCTACATTATTTTTACAGCTCCTCTGACTCAAAAGTTATGAGCCAACATTATTAATCACAGCAGTTTATACCTAGTCTCTCCACATTCAGAAGGTAAGTAACATTACTGCAAATTACATAGAGTACTATAAAATTACAGTACTGTACTGTAGTACTACAAGTTACAATACCTGTATTCTAAGTGTTCACTTGTCTTCTGCATCAATGGTTCAAGTCCACTACAAAAGACAATCAGTTGATCATGAAATATTAATTTCATAATCCAGAAGTTGTAGACAGTCACCATTATTGTATGCTCCCCTCTTCCCTATTATCCAGTTAATGAGAAGTTTTACTGTACTGAGGAGAAGATACAACAAGAAATTTTAGAGTTGGAGTGCATGAATGTTCGGGTGTGATACAGACGATGGGATATAAACACCAGGATGTACATAGACATGGGTAACCCACTTTTCCCCGCATGGGGTTTTTAACTTTTTTAGTAGTGGCTGTCACATAGAACTACGTCATTGAGGTCAGGGTTCCTCAGGTAGTTTTATGTCATGACCTTAGCTCACTAAGGTAAGCTGTGAGTGGTTAATTTTGGCGTAGATATGAGAGAAAGGGTGTGTGCAGTGAGTGTGTGCAGTTTAAAGTCCTGCACTACTTGATGTATGATGGGAAAAACAAAACTGTGAGTCTGTGTATGATTTAAAATAGTGATTTTGAAGTGTTTTCTTGGATGATTTTTTATGGCTTTATTGGCAATTTCATGGTATCTTTTGATAGAATGGAAAACACACTATTGAAATGGATATAATTTTGATTGGTTTAAGGACTGGAAGTAGCTCAAAATAGTGGAAATGTTCGATTTTTGCCAATATTTCCGAGAAAAGTATTTGATTGGTTTCAGGACTGGAAGTAGCTTGAAACTGAGTTCAAAGTAGTGGTTAGCCAGACTTGAGTCCTGGAGGTGGGAAGTACTATGACTGCACTCTGAAGGGAAGGGTGGAGATATTTGCAGTTTGGAGAGGCATCTAAACTGGAGTATCAGCACACCTCTGGCAAGACAGTAATAGTGAGTGATAGTGAAAGTCTTTCTTCTTTTTTGGGTCACCCATAAAACTCCAGGCCACTTGGTTACCATGGGTACAATCCTAGCCCATTCCGTGATTGTTTAACAATTTTATGATGATTATAGTCATTTTTATTTATTATACTGTTATTATTTTGACACAGTTTCCTACATGTTTCAGGCTACAAGGAGCGAGCTCTTGAGTCCATCCTGGTAGGCTACCCCCCGTAACTAATGTTGCCACTCCTCCAGCAGTACTTGCTGCACAGGTGCCACCCCAGGGAGTCACAGTGGCACCAGTTGCTGGCCCTGGACCATCACCAAAACCCCCTGGGACCAGGAGCTGCAATCCCTTTCCAGTACCGGTATCGGTGGGTTCTCCTGCACCTCCACCCGGCTGGCCCCAAATGCAAGTAGGGTGAGTATCTTGTAGCACTGTAATTTGATTTTTTTTTTTTTAACATGTCGGTCGTCTCCCACCGAGGCAGGGTGACCCAAAAAAGAAAGAAAATCCCCAAAAAGAAATATTTTCATCATCATTCAACACTTCACCCCAATCCACATAATCACTTTTTTTGCAGGGGGTGCCAAAACAAACAGCTTATAAGCATATAGTTGTAAAAAGATACCAACAATCCCCCCCAAACTGCTACTATCCCGAACCCCCCTTTAAAGGTGCAGGCATTTATTCCCTTCCAGGACTCAAGTCCGGCTATTAAAAATAATTTTTTCCCGAACCCCCCTTCACTAAATATTCCCCCCTCCACCTCCAACAATCGTCAGGTCCCAAATCCTTTTTGTCTCCATTCACCCCTAACACGGTCTGCACGCCTGGAAGGGGTCCAAGCCCTCCCCCAAAAAACCTCCCTTACCCCTTTCCTTCCAACCTTTTGAGGTGCCCCCTACCCCCCCTTTCCTTCCCCTACAGATTTAAAACGCTCTCCTGTCATTCTCTTTATCCATTCCCCCAAAATGCCCAAAACCCACCTCAACATCCCCTTTTTCAGCCCCTCTGACTTATATTTTTATTAACTCCACCCCTTCTCCCTAATTTCCACATCTAAATTTTTTGCATAATTTTTTACGCCACACATTGCCCTTTAGACGGGCATCTCCCCCGCCTCCTCCGCTCATTCACAACCCAAGCTTACACCCCATTTAAGGGTTGGTACTACTATACTTTGTACTTTCCCCTTCTTTGCCCCCATAGAAACTTTTTGTCTCCACATATACCTCAACGCAACACCACCTTTTTTCCCCCTCATCAATTCTATGTTTAACCTCACCCATCATAAATCCATCCCCCGAACGTCAACTCCCAAGTATCTAAAAAATTTTACTTCTTTCAACTCCCCCCCAATTTGTTTCCAGTTTTTCTTTATCAAAATCTTTGATACCCCATCACTTTACCCTTTTCTGGGTTCACTTTCAACTTTCTCCCTTTACACACACTCCCAAATTATCCACTAACCTTTGCAATTTTTTTTTTGAATCTCCCATGACACATTTTCCTCAGCAAAAAGCAACTGTGTAAAATTCCCATTTTGATTTTGATTCCCATATTTAATCCCACCTCTCCCCCAACACCCTAGCATTTATTTTCTTTTATAACCCCATCTATAAATATTTAAAAAAACCATGGTACATTACACATCCCTGTCTAAGACCTACTTTTACGGGGAAGTAGTCTCCCTCCTTTACACACCCAAATCTGAGCCCAATACCTCAAAAAACTTTTTACGCAATTAAAATTTCCCCACCTGTTCCATATACTTGAAAACATCTGCCACATTGCTCCCCTTTCCACTTTCATTCCCTTTTTTCTAAACCCAAAATGCAATGAAAACTTCCCTCCTTTATCAAATACTCTTCACATATAGCTTCAATGTAAACATTTGATCTACACACCCCCTACCCATCTGAACCCCCTGCTCATCCGCAACCTAATTCTGTCTTACCTCAAATTCTTTCAATTAAACGTCCCGTACACTTTTTTATATCTTTTATTCTTTTATTGTACATTTTGGCTCCCTTTTTTTGGTGTTCCAAAATTTTTGTTGAAAAGGAAGGGCAACCGGTGCCATTTTTTTAAGGCAAGATGTGCTGTGTATTTATTTTTTTTATCTTTTTTATGTGTTTATTGAGAACTTATATGATGTGTAAAACATTATCAGACACTTTTAGTTTTGAAAAAACTGCTCTTTTCACCTGTGGAAATTTTTTCTTTTATCGTGTGGGGTCAGGAACCTAAGAGCCTACAAACGGGACCCTCCGTTTTTATGTCTTTTTTCCCCACCTTCGTTTACAGGGAAAGAGTCATATCGACCCTTTATCCGCTTGTTGCCCTTGTTGACTTAGTATAAATAGTTACCTGGATCAGTGATGTTGAGAAGGATCCTAGGAGGGTGAGACTCAGGGCAAAGTCTTGTTATCCCTGTTGTCCTTGTTTCCCAAGCAATAAATGGTATGTATTGCATATTGCTACCTTTATGGGTGTATCCGGGGAAAGGGGGCAGTGTATGTTAAAAAGGGTTTAAACCCTTGAAGTGAGCTGAGGTAGATAACAAGCTTTTAACCTTAGTCTCAACTGTGTTAAAAAAAAAGTTGTAGGTATTTCTTAGATTTGATTTTTTAAAAAGTCACAATTACTTTGTGCGTATTAAATTTTTAAACAGAAAATTATTAGTATTTTTTTTTCAAAAAAACCCCGGCCCGCCCACCAAGGGCAGGGGGGCCCAAAAAGAAAAAAAAAAAGCAAAAAAAAAAATGAAAGAAAAATTTATTTAAGGCTATTTAATTAACACTGCAGAAGACCTGCAGGGTTTTAATTTTTTAAAAATTTTTTAATATAATAAATTTTTATAATGGATCAGGTTTTTTTACTGTATTTTTTAGACGATGAATAAATTTCCCGGGGAAGCGGAGAAGAATCCTTCCTGTAAATATGCGGTCATAAGAAGTGGCTAAAATTCTGGGAGGAAAGGGGCTAGAAACCCATTTCCCCTTTTAAATTGCTAAATGCAAAAAGAAGATAAACTTTATGGCTTTCTCTTTTTTGGTAACGCCTCAATGGGAGCAGCCCGTAGTTGAATGAATGGGTGAATAATGCGTAGAGGTAGTGAATAATGTATGTAAAGAGTGAAGCATTGGAAATATGAAGAATAATATATGTACCTTTTCAGATGGTGAACCCGGTTTTGTTTTCCCAAAATTTTGGTTAATCCACCCCCACAACCAGCCTACAAAATTCCTAACTTGCAGCCCAAAAGTTGTACCCGGGGAGCTATAGTTGTCTGCATCTGCTGAGAAATTTATTGTGTTACTTCATATTAACATTAACCCTTTCTTGTCAAAACCACTGCTTCAACTTGCTCTCAAGGTCAAAGAATTTAAAAAAAAAAAAATTTTTATGAAAATACGAAAATTTAAAAGAAAACTTACGAATTTTGCTTTGCAAAGTTACAGTCTCTGTTATTTTTGATCAGCAATTTTGGGGGACCTTGTGCCAATTTTTGGCTAAATTTCATTGTTTTTAGCCACCAAATCACAGCTATTTCCTAGTATTTTCCTTTTGTTCTATCACTTTTAACCCTTAAACGGTCCAAAAAATCGACGTTCAAATCCGAGTGCCCAAAAATAGATCTACTTTTTTTTTACATATTTTTAAAACGTATAACAAAAAAAAAAAGTAGAAAAAGTTTTTTACAGTTTTTTCAAAAGCAAAAAAAAAAAAAAATACATTTTTTTACATACTTTCAAAAGTTGAAAAAACATATACTGTATATCGTTTGGACCCCTTTAAAAGGGTTAAGTACAAAAAACTGCCCTTTTTCCCATTTCAACTACCCCAAAAAATGAAAAAAACCCGTAATTTGGCCCGTATCATGCAAAAAATTTACCCAAATTTCCAAATTTGAAAACAAAGGGCAAGAAAAATAGTGTAGCATTCCACACTGAATAAAAAATTTCCCTGTTGTTTGTCAGTCTCCAACCCCCCCTTATAACCTTCTTTTTATTTGAATTTTTTTCACACAAAAAAAAGAAATTTTCAGTTTCCTGAGAAACATTACCCAACCTAATTACGAAGCTTTGGGTAAACATCATGAAAATTACTCAAATTGGGCATGGAAGTTTGGGGTTTTTTCCTGCCAGTTTGATCCTAAATTGAAAAGTTATACAGTTTATTTTTATGGGAAAATTTTTTGGTTTCTTGTCTGTATAATTTCTTTGTTCATATAAAAAAAACTTTGACCCAATATATGAGAGTTTTTCCCGTTTTTTTTTTTTTTATACTTTTGTTTCATTAAACCATGACCATAATTATTTTTTTTTAATTTTTTATTCTAATTTTTTTTGTAGTTCTCTTATATTAAACCATCTATATTTTTTATTCCCCTTTATTTTTTTGCCATCATTCTTGTTTTTTTTGAAGATTTATTACATGTTATTATCATAACTTCTTCTCTATTTAATAATTTTTATATTCCATTAGTTCGAGGGCCAATGCCTGGTATACCCAGAATGATTAATCAGCCACGACAACGATGGCCTGGAGGTAAGGGTAATCCATAACAGTTTTAATATCCTTTTTTTCCTCCATCTTCAGTATTTTGGAAAAATAGTTAAATGAGTTTATCAATTACTATACAGTAGGGCCCCACTTATATGGCAGGTTAGGTTCCAGGCTAATGCCGGAAAGCAGACACTGCCGAAAAGCAGAACACCATTTTTTCCACTTGTATATCATTTATGGATTTAGAAAAGGCATATGATAGAGTGGATAGGGGAGCAATGTGGCAGATTTTTATTTTATTATTTTATTATCACACTGGCCGATTCCCACCAAGGCAGGGTGGCCTGAAAAAGAAAAACTTTCACCATCATTCACTCCATCACTGTCTTGCCAGAAGGGTGCTTTACACTACAGTTTTTAAACTGCAACATTAACACCCCTCCTTCAGAGTGCAGGCACTGTACTTCCCATCTCCAGGACTCAAGTCCGGCCTGCCGGTTTCCCTGAATCCCTTATAAATGTTACTTTGCTCATACTCCAACAGCACGTCAAGTATTAAAAACCATTTGTCTCCATTCACTCCTATCAAACACGCTCACGCATGCCTGCTGGAAGTCCAAGCCCCTCGCACACAAAACCTCCTTTACCCCCTCCCTCCAACCTTTCCTAGGCCGACCCCTACCCCGCCTTCCTTCCACTACAGACTGATACACTCTTGAAGTCATTCTGTTTCGCTCCATTCTCTCTACATGTCCGAACCACCTCAACAACCCTTCCTCAGCCCTCTGGACAACAGTTTTGGTAATCCCGCACCTCCTCCTAACTTCCAAACTACGTTGCAAGTATATGGAGTAGGTAGTAAGTTAATAAATGCTGTAAAGAGTTTTTATGAGGATAGCGAGGCTCAGGTTAGGGTGTGTAGAGAGAGGGAGACTACTTCCCGGTAAAGGTGGGTCTTAGACAGGGATGTGTAATGTCACCATGGTTGTTTAATATATTTATAGATTGGGTTGTAAAAGAAGTAAATGCTAGGGTGCTCGGGAGAGGGGTTGGATTAAATTATGGGGAATCAAATACAAAATGGGAATTGACACAGTTACTTTTTGCTGATGATACTCTGCTTATGGGTGATTCTAAAGAAAATTTGCGAAGGTTAGTGGACGAGTTTGGGAATGTGTGTAAAGGTAGAAAGTTGAAAGTGAACATAAAAAAGAGTAAGGTGATGAGAGTATCAAATGATTTAGATAAAGAAAAATTGGATATCAAATTGGATATCAAATTGGGGAGGAGCAGTATGGAAGAAGTGAATGTTTTCAGATATTTGGGAGTTCACTTGTCAGTGGATGGATTTATGAAGGATGAGGTTAATCATAGAATTGATGAAGGAAAAAAGATGAGTGGTGCATTGAGGTATATGTGGAGGCAAAAAATGTTATCTATGGAGGCAAAGAAGGGAATGTATGAAAGTATAGTAGTACCAACACTCTTATATGGGTGTGAAGCTTGGGTTGTAATGCTGCGGCAAGGAGGCGGTTGGAGGCAGTGGAGATGTCCTGTCTAAGAGCAATGTGTGGTGTGAATATTATGCAGAAAATTCGGAGTGTGGAAATTAGGAGAAGGTGTGGAGTTAATAAAAAGTATTAGTCAGAGGGCTGAAGAGGGTTTGTTGAGGTGGTTTGGTCATTTAGAGACAATGGATCAAAGTAGAATGACATGGAGAGCGTATAAATCTGTAGGGGAAGGAAGGTGGGGTAGGGGTCATCATCGAAAAGGTTGGAGGGAGGGGGTAAAGGTGGTGTTGTGGGCAAGGGGTTTGGACTTCCAGCAAGTGTGCGTGAGCGTGTTAGATAGGAGTGAATGGAGACAAATGGTATTTGGGACCTGATGATCCGTTGGAGTGTGAGCAGGGTAATATTTAGTGAAGGGATTCAGGGAAACCGGTTATTTTATATAACCAGACTTGAGTCCTGGAAATGGGAAGTACAATGCCTGCACTCTGAAGGAGGGGTTTGGGATATTGGCAGTTTGGAGAGATATACAGTGGATCCCTGGTATACGATGGCATCGGTATACGTTAAATCTGGTATATGATACATTTTAACTCAAAAATTTTGCCTCACCACTCGTTAAAAAACCCGCCACACGCGATTCGTCTGGGTCGCGTCCACATGTGGCCTGAACTGCCCCATGTGTGCTCGCATCTAAGCATACATTCGGTACATTCCATATTATCACAGTGTTTTTGGTGCTTGTTTCTGCAAAATAAGTCACCATGGGCCCCAAGAAAGCTTCTAGTGCCAACCCTTCGAGGAAAAAGGTGCTAATGACTATTGATATGAGGAAAGAGATAATTGCAAAGTACGAAAGTGGAGTGTGTGTGTTGGAGCTGGCCAGGTTGTATACAAAACCCCAATCAACCATCGCTACTATAGTGGCCAGGAAAACAGCATTCAAGGAAGCTGTTCTTGCAAAAGGTGCATGTCTGTTTTCGAAACAGAGATCGCAAGTGTTAGAAGATGTTGAAAGACTGTTATTGGTGGGGATAAATGAAAAACAGATAGCAGGCGATAGCATCTCTCAAGCGATCATATGTGAAAAGGCTAGGAAGTTGCATGAGGATTTAATTGAAAAAATGCCTGCAACTAGTGGTAATGTGAGTGAATTTAAGGCCAGCAAAGGTTGGTTTGAAAGATTTAAGAATCGTAGTGGCATACATAGTGTGATTAGGCATGGTGAGGCTGCCAGTTCGGTCCTAGTGGCATTAAAAGAAGAAGGGAAGTAACCCCGGAAAAGGACTTGCTACCTCAAGTCCTAATGGAAGGGGATTCCCCTTCTAAACATTAACAACTTCGACACTCTCCCCTCCTCCCATCCCATCAATCATCACCAGATCTTCATTAAAGGTAAATGTCATGTATTCTATTATTAGCAGAGTATGCACTACTAACTGTGCATGTCTTCTTCAGTTTGTGTGCATTAAACTTAATATTTCATGTGGTAAAACTTTTTTTTTCATAGTATTTTTGGGTGTCTTGCATGGATTAATTTGATTTCCATTATTTCTTATGGGGAAAATTAATTCGCCTTCCGATAATTTTGGCATATGATGAGCTCTCAGGAACGGATTAATATTGTATACCAGGGGTCCACTGTATCGTGTATTTTTATACGTATATACTTCTAAACTGTTGTGTTCTGGGCACCTCTGCAAAAACAGTGATTATGTGTGAGTGAGGTGAAGGTGTTGAATGATGATGAAAGTATTTTCTTTTTGGGGATTTGCTTTCTCTTTGGGTCACCCTGCCTCAGTGGGAGATGGCCGACTTGTTGAAAAAAAAAAAAATATAAAACTTTTTTTTTTTTTTTTTTGAAATAAAAAAAAAAATGCAGCAGCAAGGAGGCAGTTGGAAGCAGTGGAGATGTCCTGTCTAAGAGCAATGTGTGGTGGAAATATTATGCAGAAAATTCAGAGTGTAGAAATTAGGAGAAGGTGTGGAATTAAAAGTATTAGAGGGCTGAAGAGGGGTTGTTGAGGTGGTTTGGTCATTTAGAGAGAATGGATCAAAGTAGAATGACATGGAAAGCATATAAATCTGGAGGTGAAGGAAGGCGGGGTAGGGGTCGTCCTCAAAAAGGTTGGAGGGAGGGGGTAAAGGAGGTTTTGTGGGCAATGGGCTTGGACTTTCAGCAAGCGTGCGTGAACGTATTAGATAGGAGTGAATGGAGACGAGTGGTTTTTGGGACCTGACGAGCTGTTGGAGTGTGAGCAGGGTAATATTTAGTGAAGGGATATGTTATATACCTTTATATATGCTTCTAAACTGTTGTATCTGGGTGTCTCTGCAAAAACATGATTATGTATGAGTGAGGCAAAAGTGTTGAATGATGATGAAAATATTTTGTTTTTGGGGATTTCCTTTCATTTTGGGTCACCCTGATTTGGTAGGAGACAATTGACTTGTTGAAAAAAAAAAATTAGGGAAACCGGTTATTTTATATAGCCGGACTTGAGTACTGGAAATGGGAAGTACAATGTCTGCACTATAACCCTTAAATGGTCCAAACATATATATACGTTTTTTCAACATCTGAAAGTATGTAAAAAAAATGTAGATCTTCTTTTTTGTTTTACATTTAAAAACATATGAAAAAACTTTTATCTACATTTTTTTTTTGTTATATTTGAAAATGTGTAAAAAAAAGTAGATCTACTTTTGTAGTACTATGAATTTGAATGTCAATCTGTTTGGACCATTTAAGGGTTAACCCCTTCAGGGTCCAAGGCCCAAATCTGAAGTGGTGCCCCAGTGTCCAAGAATTTAAAAAAAAAAATATTTGTTATTTTTTCTTATGAAATGGTAGAGAATCTTTTTGTGAAGGTAATAAAACAAAAAGTACGAAATTTGATGGAAAATTGACGAAATTATGCTCTCGCGAATTTTGATGTGTCAGCGATATTTTCGAATCGGCGATTTTGCCGACTTCGACTCCCATTTTAGGCTAATTACATTATTCCAGTCAACCAAATTCTTAGCTATTTCACTAGTATTACTTCTATTCTATCGATTGAGCACAAGAAATCGCCAAGTTAACTGTTTCAACTACAAATTAAAGTGATCAGAAATTGTTAATTTGGCCAATTTAACACAAAGTTCAAAATATTCCAATTTCAAAATAGGGTCCAGAATAAACATTGTAGATATTCCTGGCACTAAACTAACATTTCCTCTGTTCATAAGTTATGTTTTGAGGCTTTACAAATAAATTCCATTTTGATTTTTTATTCACATAATGAATTTTTTTTCACACCAAAAAATAGAAGATTTACTGTTATGCAATATTGTAATAATTGTATAAATATCATCACCACATTTGTGAATGTATATTAGACCCACCAGCTGACGTGTATTAGACATGTGAGGTCGTTTGTATAGTCTTGAATATCGGCAAAAATTTAACATTTCTGCTACTTTGAGCTCAGTTTCAAGCCATTTTCAATGCTAAAACCAATCAAAATCATCTCTATTTCTGTAATATGTCTT